AATGTGTCAATATATGTATTCTGGGAATAATAATATTAGCCATCTAACATATCCAATCTGCTCATGCTAGTGATAACATTAGTAAGGAAGCCAGCTAGCTGTAAGCCAGCCACACTAAAGAACGTTATTCACCACTGGATAATATCTGTTAGTTAGTTAGCCAACATTTGCTTGCTCGCTCCAGCTAGCTGGCTTCCTTGCTAATGTTATCACTAGCAAATTACTGTCTGAGTGGATATGTTAGTTTGTCGAAGTGGCTTGCCAAACTACTTCCCCAGCTAACGTGATCTATGATAATAACTTATGTATTATGGTGTTTATTTAGACAACAAAAAAATTATGTAACGGTACAAAGCTAACAATTGCTTTCTACTAGCGAAGAGCGATGCAAGATATGGATTAGAAGTCCTGGAGGTTCTCAGAATCACTGAAGGTTTTAAATTTTCATGGTAACTGAGCAAGCTACTAATGAGGAGTGATACAGTTGAAAGCTCATGCATAGCTACTAAATGGATCTTAAGGTGGTATTGTTTTGTCACCAATCAAGAGTGGATTTTTGTGATATGGGGTGATATCAGGCGCAATGAACAAAATCGTGGACTTCACATATGATAACATTGTGCTCACCAAAGTCGTTCATGTGGGAACATGGCGACACCGCTAAAAATAGGTAAAACAGAGCAAGAAACATGGTTTCATTGTTTAAAGCTGCAGTAGGTAATTTTCATAAAATAACTTTTTGTCATATTTGCTGACACTTTCACTATATCCTGACAGTAGTACACAAGACAGATAATCTGTGAAAAAAAAAATCAGGTTCCTCTGGGTGCTCCTAATGGTATTTGTAAGAAGTCGCCCCACCAGGCGCTGAACAAAAACAACAATCAGAGCCCGGAGGAAAAGCCAGAAGAACTTGATTTTTTCACAAATTACCTGTCTCATGTCCTACTGTCAAGATAAAACATTAGATAATTATATTAGAATAAAATTATTTTTATTAAAAAAAAATTACCTACTGCAACTTTAAGTACTAATAAACTATAGTTTTCCTTTTAGCTAAACAACTTTGCATACTATTTTTTTGGTTCCTTATGTTTACATGTGTTGTTAGTAGTATTAGTCATCACAGTACAACATTTTAAACAAGCATAAATATTTGCATTTGTAAAAGTCATGGAAGACATAAAATTACATTTTCTGTAGTGGAAATATAGTTCTACCCAAAGTTTCTCTATGCACATTGTGTTATCAAAGAGTTTCCCCAAACCAGTAACCACCCAAATACAGTCTAGCCTTCAAATCAAGCATCATTAGAGGCATATGCCCACAGGGACAAAGAGCTGAACTTTAAAAGAAAGTACTTTATCTTCTGAAAGTCTTTCATCAGATGAGGCAGTACTTGTTTGATACTACCATCCCAGCCACATCTGAGACAGTCTGTAACATTTCACAACATTTAGTCCTGTATTTAACTTTAACAGGACAACAGAAAATGTTTCCCCTCTGCGATCCTCAGCTCCAGCCTGGACCTGGATCCTGGCCTCTTCTGCCCTCCTCTGGTCAGCTCTATGAACTGCTGCTGAGTCTTCGACGCAGCAGGGAGGCAGGCTTGGTTTCAGTGTCCTCTACATCGCTTTCACATTGTCTCTGGAGAAAAGCATTAGAACAATTGGATTCTAATCTGATGCAGACTTTTGGATGTCATGAATTTGCCTAACTGTATCTTTTAAAGCTAACAGTGCGGCTTTGAATAGACCATCTAAACTGAATTTGAAGAAGTACATAAAAATGGACAATATATACATTAAGAAACACTGAGTATCTTTGCATATACAAGATTAAGAGTAGCTCTAAAAAAAATTTACATTTTATATTAAATATCAAATAAGTTGAGTTAAGTGACTATGTTTTATAAAAGACTATGCTTTAATATAGACATACACAATTATTTTTCAAGGCACCCCGCATAAGCTTCTTTGACTTTACCAAAATCTAAAACTGCATCAGTTCAGCTTTCAATAATATACAGAGCAATGCTACCATGGACTTCATTTTCAAATCATATTACACAACAAAATAATACTGTAAAACTTTTAATAATAGCCCAGGTTTTTATTTCCTTCAACCACTGAACTCAACCTGCCCTTATTGGGGACAGGCAGGAAATACTCTCTAATTGTGCTGCTTCTCTTGAGTTTTGTTTAGCAAATATGACACAGCTTACATTTCAGGTTGTATTGTTTTCTCTGTGCTGCCGCCATCACACTTGAGCTCACTTGTTTTGCGAGCCGAAGATTTACGGCAGCCAGTGTACAGACGGTGAGCAATGGACTTCACATGACAATATTCACAACTGGGATTAGTGTTAATGAAACCCTCTGATTCTTATGATCCTTTTGACCCTTACAGACTGAAGTAATATAAATAATGGATGAATGGACACAAACTGTGTGGGACAGACTTTATGACCACTTCAGAAGTTGGGAGCCAGCTCTTTTTTCTGTCTATTTTGTTAACTATGCCGGTAAATCTGAATTATACTTTTGTTCTCATAGTTTCTGTAAAATGATCCAAATGATTCAACGATCTAGCTGATCTAACGATGTGCAGTATCTCCATGTTGACGAAAGTTTAAACATTTATGTTTGTTTAGGAGATCTAAGCAGCTTAAAACTCGCTCAACCTGGTTGGTTTTGAGAGTTTTTATGCATCCAAAGAACTTCTATAAAATCCAGACCAGGCCTCCATGTCATGTGAGACCTGCGTTTATCTGTCAAAACGTGTACCACACCAGGCTAGTGAGGGAGACCTGCGTCTGTTTAAGACACTAAAAGAGCATTAGTCAAGAGGAAAAAAAAAGTACTCTTTGGTGTGTGAGGGTTCCATCGGCAAACAAGGTGAAATTATGAGATTTATCTGTTTGATCATAATCCATATTCAGTCAGAGCCGGATTTTTATTTTATTTTTGTTCTTATTTTGTCTATATAATTGTGTCAGTTTATATTGTTTTATTGGAGTATATGTGCATCGCGATGGGTTGTGTCAGTGTTTTGTGATGAGTAATGTGAGTGTGTTTATTTGTATGGGACTGACACCATGTAAACTGTGTGGCCCCCAGGAAGAATGGCAGCTGTTATGCAGAAGCTAATATGTGATTGTAATAAACAAACAAACATACAATAATGGTCTTACCTGCACTGTATCTGGATCTGAGCTCCCCTTCAGCAGTTTCAAATGGACCAGGCGGTTACATATCCACACCATGTTGTAGGACATCTAGAGGGTGGAGGGGGGCACAGGGTGAAGAAAATAGTTTAGTCTTCAGTAAGTCTTTGCTTCAGTAAGCCAGTGGTGCAACCAACCAGAATACCTGAACGTTCTTAAAGATAATACTTAGATGGCGCAGAGCAACTCTGTCTTCATTTACATCAGCTCAGTATCATACCTACATACCTAACTCCTGCTTACTGTAGCTGCTACAGCTAGTTAGCTCGGTTAGCTGTGCAGCTAGCTGTTCTATTAACGTTAGCTGACTGCCTTAGTGGACTGGGAGCTCGGAGCAGCAGGGGAATAGACGGGAACTGTAGACTGCTGGGAGGAGATGGTTTGTTTTCATGCCTGGTGTGGGGGTACCCAGCAGGAAATGGGGTTGGGGAGCAATAGGCACCAGAACCGGAGCCAGGCAAGCGAGAAACAGAGACGGGTCAGCAGCCTCAGAGTGGCTAGACCTCCCAACCTCCCCTATCTCTCTCTCCCTATTTTCTTCTCCTTGTCCTCTGTGACTGCCACCTCTCTCTCCTCTGGCTCTCGGTGTCTCATTCTAGATGTTTTGGATCTTCCTCTCTCTCTCCCCCTTGTGTGCACGTTGTCGTCGTCTCTCTCTCTATGTGTGTGTTTCTCCTGTCTGTGTGAAAAGAGCTTGTTTGGTGACACCTGAGTTTGCTCAATGTCAGTGTCCAAACTGTGATTTTACTATGGTATGTTGGTCTATTCTGTACACACAACATTGTTTTCCTCTCTGTCCCTCCTGGGAGCAATATTTTTCCCAGGATGACGAAATTATGATCCACTCTACTCTGTCTCTGATTGGCTTACCCTGACTCTCTTACCCTAATCCTAACCATAACAAAACCAATCAAGGCAACAAGTATTAGCCAATCATTGGCAGAGTAGAGCAGGTCTTAACTTCGCCATCCTTCCAATCTTTCCCCATTAAAGGACAGAGGGTGACGTATCCTGTACAGATTGTAAAGCCCTTGAGGCAAATGTGTTATTTGTGACATTGGGTTATATAAATAAAACTGACTTGAACTCTGCAGAAACTGTTGTGCAAATATAACTGGCTATAGTTGCAGATAGGAACTTGAGGGTCCTACTGTCCCTGCACAAGTGGCTCCTTCTGGTTGGTGGACCAATCACCACCATAATGCCTTCTCACCTTCCATTTCCTTCTGGCATTGAACTTCTTAAAGTTCTTCATATTGATTGAGGATCGATTTCTTTTGGCCAGCTGTGTGCGTGTGATGGGCTGAAACAGACAACATTTGCATTCATTTTAAGTAACATCCAGCAGCTAGATGCAGTTAACAACTAAAGCATGTTTTGGGTCTTAAAATGGTAGAAGACGTATAGTAACCTTAATCCATGAATGAAGCAGACACTCCTCAGCTGTCATTCTATCCCTGGAATACACATCAACAAAGAAGTAATGACAGATCCGGTAACAGATTAGAAGAGTAGTAGTAATAATTAATTGCCACTCTCTACTGGATAAAAAACAGAATCAAAAACAGGTTTACACTTTTTTAAATTACACATTACGTAAGGCAGCTAGTTGTACTGAGATGGAAAATAATGTTATTGGTCATTACTAGGGATGCACCATTTTTTTGTTTTTTGTTGTTAGTTATTCACTATTTTGTACCAGGGAAACAAAGACAACAAACATCTACAAAGATAAGTGTTTCTGCCTTGTTCACTGTCTGAGCTGTTGCATGGAACACATTGGTATTTGCATGCAATTTGTGCTAAAAAAACAGAAATTATTATCTATTATTATCTACAATATCTTTAGCCAGCGCAACATTGATGCAACACAACAGATGGGCATCAGCCACTAATATCAGTGGATGCCATCTTATTTGATGCTCGGCTGATACATCAGTACATCCCTAGTCATTACATATGAAAGCAGACAATGGATCAGCAGTTATATCACAATATTGGTTCTGCCATAGGAAGGGCCTTATGCTGCAGCAAGATCCATCCAATTTATTTTTCAGGAGCCAAATTCGCACAGTGATCCTAATAATTGTACTAAAATCTTAATATTTCAGCCCAGTGGTGGAACAAACTCCAAGCAGAGCTTGGAACTGAAGAATCCTTCACCATCACACCAACACAGCCGAATGTCGAGCGTACCACCAGCTTTAAGTTTGTGGGTTGACCCTCCTGAAGAAGGTTCACCAGCATCTGTTTTCCTGAGAGGACTAAAGAAAGTCCATCTGCCTCCTCAGAGTTGACGCAGTTGAGTGTTTGCAATCCTCCCCTCTGGGAGGCGCTACAGGTGTCTTCATTCAGGGACCAGCTAGCTCAGGAAATGCTTCTTCACCTCATCTTTCACCTTGCTTAACCTCAGAGATATTTTACGGCCTTTTACCCTTCTGGTTAGATGCTGAACGCCATTCCGTTGTCTCAGAGTACTACCACTGAGACAATGGAATGCAGTTTATGACAATGACAATAAAGTTCCATCTAATCTAAACAACTAACATGAGATGGTCAGTCAGCACCACCTTCCATAGCCAGAAAGCCCAACAGCATCTGCACTTTGCAGAAGTAAAGGCAGGCTCCCTCCCCCAGCAGCACTATACAGTGTGCTGACAAGTCGCATTACTGCTCAGTACAGCAACTGACCACCTCTCCTACATCCCCCTCTTTCCTGTCAGACACACTCAGGCAGACACAGACCTACCTCAGCAACAACCCAGTGACTCATACGCTGCTCTTGCTGCCATTTCTATGTATTTCATCTTTAATGGAGAGGGTATAACTAAGGGGCTAACCCTAACCCTTTTATACTTGCATTGGGTTTATTATAATTGTACATACTGCGCCTCCCTCTCTTTTGATTCCTGCTGTTGCTATGTGCCATTGCAACATAATTTCATTTTGATGCAAATCCAAATGACAAATAAAGTCTGTCTAAGTCTAAGTCTATTAGAAGTACATCTTTCCAAATTAAAACTTTTTTTTTTATGAAATGAGGCACACATTTGATTACATGTGTGACGGCACATGCATTTTACTCAACTTAATACTACTAGCACTAGCACTGTATGTGTACCTCTTGTATGTCCTTATCGAGTATTCTGTTTGGAAAGGATGATACAAACAATGTATTTCTAGACCGTTTGATATTTTCTATAAGTCCCTTTTTTACACTTTATTGCTTGATTAATATATTAATTTGTAAATGTTGTATAATTCTTCTTTTATTGCCCATTTAAATATCCATTGATGAAGTACTTAGTACTTTGAATCCCTCCAGGAGGTTGCAATGTTACAATTGCAACAATTAACGCAGATTTAACCAATCCCTGTAAATTCTGTGCAACCTTGCAATTGTGTCCAATCACTGCAACTTTGCGCAAGTTTTACCATGAATTTCACCAATCATAAAGTCCCCCGCCAAACTTTAAGCTATATGTCAACAAACTACTAACGATGCTATTCTTGCTGGAACAAGATGCCTTTTTTTTTTTTTTTTTTTTAAATCACACTTTCTCCCAAAATGTCATTGCAAAAAAATGCTAAGAAACATTGCAACATGCATCGCAATTTTTTAGAAAAGAAAACCAAATAATAGTCCTATTGGCTACTGCCACTAGTCCTCCCTAGCTGCCTGCTTTTACAGGAAATACGTACATATGTGGAAGGAAACAACAATCACATTCCTGTTTTTAATGTAAACTTTATGTGACTTTTTTTCAAGGTTCTCATTTTGAATTTGTGGAACTGTACATTATTGTTGTCATGTGACCATCCTTGTTGTTGTTGCCATCTAGTGTTTTGGAAGCTCATATAGCCTAAAACAAATCAAGCACGTAAAGCCACTGCCACTGTCACTCCAACAACCTAGCTATCCCATAACTCCTATACTATACTCCATAAATCCTTGATCCTGAAGATCTTTGATCCTGAAGACCTGTGCCAGCCA